CTTGCATGGTCTTGGCAAGGTTACTGGGCTGCTTGACGATCTGTTTGGACGATGGATGCACATTACACGACTATAGGCGCTCAGGAGCCGCCGGTTATAGAAACTCATGTTTCCCTCCTCCATTCACCAGTAACCACAGGAGTTGATTTACAAATGCGATTCCCGCCATCCGCACAGTCAGTCTGCCCTGTAGGGGCCTTTCTGGGGCGCGGGCTCTCCGCGCAGTGGGAAAGGAGGTCTGAGTCTCTAGTGTTGCTTTCTGACTAGATTTACTGAAAGGGTTAAAAGAAAAAAAAATTTCAAAAGTGGAGATGCCGGGGATTGAACCCGGGGCCTCATACATGCAAAGCATGCGCTCTACCACTGAGCTACATCCCCTTGCTGGAAGTAAGGTTTTCCGAAATAGTGATGATTATCGAATACACGCTGTTGTGACGTCTTCGGTTTTTGTTCATGATGTGGGCGTCATAGGTTGAGATGTCAGAAAGAAGAGAAGGAGGCGTAAAGAAACACAGACGAGAAAACGAACAGGAGAGAAAGAAAAAGCAGGAGAGAGAGAAAGAACACAGAAAATAAGGAACTGGATGACAGCCGCTGCGTGTAGCTGCCTATAAGGATGTATCTGGAAAGTAGCTAGCATGGTTCATCCTCGTTAGTATAGTGGTGAGTATCCCCGCCTGTCACGCGGGAGACCGGGGTTCGATTCCCCGACGGGGAGGCCGCATGGAGGATTTTGCATTTTAGAAATTCACCTTGGAGGATCTGAGTAAAAACATAGGCCTCTCTTTCCTACTTTGGCGGATTTTACAGGGAATCCCTGAATTCACGTAGGGTGCCGTGAATGTGTTTGCATAACGTGGTCCAGTCTCTGGCCATCCGTTTAAACAGTAAGAGGGTGTCCCTCTCCAAAGAAGTCTCCCAGTTTTCTTTCCCATCTTACTCCATTTTCGTCGTGAAGATCGGTTTGTTTATTTATTTATTTACAAAAACTCTCTGAGAAACCTAAAGCAGGTACCCACTTCTCACCAGATTTTTGTTTTTTTAATTCCTCCTTGGCCCATAACCCAGGCAGGCCTTGGACTCAAGGAGCAATTCTGCCTCAGCCTCCCCATGCTTAGCTTACAGAACTTCATCTCCTCCACTCCCGTTTCTTTGTTTTTTTTTTTTGAGACAAGACTTTATGTATCCAAACTGATTATTTTTTAGATTTGATTATTTTACTTTATTTGTTTTGCCCAAATGTATATTTGTGCACTCTAGAGGTGTCTGCTCTTGGTACAGTAGAGGGGTCAGATCCCCTGAAACTGGAGTTGATAGTTGTGAGCCACCTTGTGGATGCTTGGAAACAAGTCAGCCTGAACTAATAAGTGAGGTCAAAACAATCCTGGGCAATTTAATGAAACGGTCTCAAATTAAAAATTTTAAAGGTTGCTGGGAGGTGGTGGCGCACGCCTTTAATCCCAGCACTCGGGAGGCAGAGGCAGGTGTATTTTTGTGGGTTCGAGGCCAGCCTGCTCTACAGGCTCCAAAGCTACACAGGAATCCCTGTCTCGAAAAACCATAAATAAATAAATAAATAAATAAATAAATAAATAAATAAATAAATAAATAAAATATCTGAGTGCAGTGTTTACCTACCATATGAGGTGGGAATGAGGCGGGAGTAGGATTCCAGAAGGAAGCAAGACCTCCTGTTTCTTCGAAAGCATCCCCATAGGTGACACCTGAATCCCCCCCCCGCCCAATCCCAGATCAAGATTCCTTTCCTCTCCCCTGGTCCCTTTCTTCCCTCCTCTGGTCCCCCTCAATGTCCCTTTCTAGGCCCGCTTCTGCAGGCGTGGCCCAGACACCACAGCTCCAGGTTGGACCGCACACACCAATCCCCACCTTTCCTGAATGTGGCCACCTGCCCATGCCATGCTCTCAGGAGCCAGGGAAGCCCCGTGTCCGCAGGGAGCTTGCCGACCATCTAATCCCTCCTCCTGCCTCTCACTGCCCACCTCAGAGACCTCACGTCCTCCCTTGGTCGCTCATACAAGCCCTCGCCTTTCTGCTCACCGAAGGGAAGGAAGCAGGCAGGGCCCATTCCCGTCCCCACCTGTTCCGTTTCCCCGAGCTTCGAGCCCGAGCAGGTGTGCACAGGAATGTAGAGCACGCTCGGATCCGGGACAAGTGCCGCCCTGCCCAGGAGTCATTACTCGCTCAGCCAGCGTCTGTTACCCCTGGCAGCAGCCTGCATTCAGAGGTGGCTCCCCTACTGCTCCAAGAGGGGAACAGGAGGAGCAGAACTCTAAGCCAAGAAAGGCTTAGCCGTGCGTTTGTTACTCGCTCAACAAACATTTAGTAAGCACCTACTAAGCGTTGCCTGTACTGGGGTCTTCCGCCACGGCTGAGGCCAGCGTAGGTGTGTCCTTCCAGCTAATACACAGGGAAAATGGTAAATAAACTCAAAGTTCACAGTAAAGTCCTGGGATGGAGGCGTTCCCTGAAGGACCCTTGTAAATAGTGGCCTAAGGGGGCGCGCGGGGACCAGAGCACGCGAGTCACCAAGAGATAAGATCTGAGTAGTGTGGATTTCCGGGCAACAGATCTCAGAAAAACCAAGGACGCAAAGGTTTCGCAACAACAAGGAGAGGAGAAAAGAACACGGCAGTAACAGCCGCCGAAATAGCTCAGTTGGGAGAGCGTTAGACTGAAGATCTAAAGGTCCCTGGTTCGATCCCGGGTTTCGGCAGCTCTCCGTTTTTTTCTTTTTGCACTCCCTTCCAATTAATGGGATGGTTTTGTTTTCCTCACGGGAGTCCCGAGCATCGTGCACCGAAGCCAAAGGCTCTGGAAATTTCCCAGATGCTCCTGTTTTGGAGTGAATCGAAGTGTTTCCTAAAGCGTATGCCGAAGCGTGTACTGTGATGTTTATTGAAGTCGGCTGGTGTACGCTTGGCGCCTGTTTATTAAGGTCTGCGGTCTGAATTCAGGTGGAAAAATAAAAACTCAAGTAGGGAATGTACATTTCAAAAGTGAGATTCAGTCAAATCGGATTTACTTTTCATTTTTATGAGTCAGTGTCGCGGAATGCGAAGAATCTTAAAGGAGCTTCTTGCCAAGCCAGTGCTTAGCCCTCTTCCTCGTTAGTATAGTGGTGAGTATCCCCGCCTGTCACGCGGGAGACCGGGGTTCGATTCCCCGACGGGGAGATCGGCAGATTTCTTTTTAACAAATTCTTTCGTGTTTTCCATTGTCTTCCAGCCTGTTTAAACTCAATTCCCACGGGCATATTTCACCCCGTCGCAGAAGAATGAGCACGATCCTTACTGATGTGCTCCATCCCCTTGCAAACGAGCTCAGCCCGAGTAGCAATTCGCAAGAAAGACACTGTCCTCACCCAGCACTCCCTGGGTGTCCCTGGTACCCGCGTCACAAGATGGAAGCCTTGACCCGGCTCACTCTGCGACCCACACTGCGTCCCCTTCCTACTCCAGCCCCTGTCACAGATAGCCTTCTGATGTCCGGGAATTTGGGACGTTTTCTTGTCCCCGTACAGTTGTACATCTTCCCGAAATGTCACCATCCTTCCGTTCATTTGTTCCTTTGTGGGGCCCTTAGCTAGAGAGGGTTGGGTGGTCAGTAAAAAGGAGCCAATCACCAGAACTGGGGAAATCATTCCACGCTGAGGGAGCAGCGAGTGCAGATCCCTGCGTGGAGGGAGAGGGGCAACCTCGGCTTGCTCTCGCTTGAGCCTTGTTCAAAGCCGCTCTCCCTTTCATCTGCCGGGTCCTCTCCCAGGGCCTCAGACCCAGAGGAGGAAGGGCCAGGCCGATTGCTCTATCCCCGGTGAGCAGCGCAGCCTCCAACCCCCTGAGACCCAGGGGCAGGATGATGTGGAGCTTCACACACGGGGCAGGGGGATGGCGATGAGAACGCAGCAGCCCTTTGCCGCAGTCCACACCAGCGACTGCGGCCACGTCTCATTTTCCTCCAGCCTGTAGACGGTGTTGACTGTTCCAGCAAGCAGGGTTGGGCTTGTGGCCTCTCCTCCTGGCTCCCAGTCAAACAACAAGCCCCGTCCTACACCCCACCCCCGGCACTGTTCACGGAGACATTGCAGAGTCTGAGACCTTGCTCCAAATTTGAGTCCTAATTGTGGAGTCTGAAAGTGTTAGGCCATTTTTCAAATCCAGAAAATTCTTCCAGGAGGAGGGCAGGCGGAGGGAGGGGGAGATAGAGAGGAAGGGCTTCAGGAAGTTTTATAAACTCAGTGATCGAGTTTGGAAAGCATCTCAGGGGTGAGGAAGCAGATAATACTGGGTGAAGAACACTGGTGTCAAGTCCTTATTTATAGAGGACTTATTTCATTTCGCTTTCTGTTTGTTCTCTGAATCAGGTAAAAATTTAACCTATACCTACGCAATAACAAATACATTTGTTTGGGAACTATAAGACAATTAATTTTACTAAGGCCTTAAATCCCTCTTAAATAAATACACGTAAATTTAATTTAGAGGAAGAAAGAGGGGAAAAAAAAAACAATTCAAAACTACCCAAACCGCCATTCATAGAGTATAGCAGGGATCTTCCAAGATCTAGAAGAACCGTGGGGGGGATGTAGCTCAGTGGTAGAGCGCATGCTTTGCATGTATGAGGCCCCGGGTTCGATCCCCGGCATCTCCACTTCTTTTATTCTTCCTTTCTATTCCTATCTCTGGGTCTTTGAGCCAGAAAAGATATTCTTGTAAAGCCCACCATAGCAGTAGCCTCTTGGAACTGAGAATTTTACATTCGTTCTTATCCTGCTCGTAAAAAATTTTAAATTCGTCGCTACGGGGATCTTAAGAGAGCAGGCAGGAGGGAAAAGTAAGGACCGTGCGGGTATGAAGATTGCAAAGCCACAGGGAGGACCACCAGGGGATTTTGCATGTGGTGACTCTGTGACACTGACCCCCGGGGGCTTTTCTTCCTTAGAGATGCACAGTGTCTTACCATTCAATTAAAGGTGCACTTCAGTGCTGGCCTCGATAGTACACACATATACTAAAATTGAAACGGTACAGAGATTAGCATGGCCCCTGTGCAAGGACGACACACAAATTTGTGAAGCGTCCCATAACAACAACAACAAAAAATGCACTTTAATCCCAGCACTTGGGAGGCGGGTGGATCTCTGAGTTCGAAGCCAACCTGGTCTATAAGAGTAAATTCCACGACAGCAAGGGCTACGCAGAGAAACCCTGTCTCCAAATACATAAGAGCCCCGTATGTTCTACAGATGCACAGCAGTAACAACCTCACTGTCATCATCATATCCCTGACATGTGACTGGACTCCTCTAAAATGCTAAACGCAAACAAAGAAACATAAACCATAAATAAAAACTAAAGAAAATAAAAACAGAAATCAGATCTAGATGAAACGAGGCCTTTGTTTCTATATTTTTACTTTTTGAGACAGGGTCTCATTAAGTGACTCTGGGAGTCCTGGCACCGACAACATAGACCAGGCTGAGCCTTGAACTCACAAAAATCACCCGCCTCTGCCTCCTCAAGGCTGGGGTTAACAGTTTGGGCCATCATGCCTGGCTTTTTTTGGGGGGAGGGGCGGGGGAAGAGCAGGTTTCCAGGCAGGGTTTCTCTGTGGATTTGGAGGCTATCCTGGAACCAACTCTTGTAGACCAGACTGGTCTCGAACGCCCAGAGATCCTCCTGCCTCTGGGGTTAAAGGTGTGTACCAACACCGCCTGGCCCTTAATTTTATTTTTAAATTTTTACTTTCTTTTTTATGTATGTGGGTTTTTGTCTGCATGTTTCTGTGTACCATGTGTGTGGAGTGTCAGGTCCCTTGGAACCAGAGTTACAGATAGTTGAGAACAGTCATGTGGGTGCTGGGAACTGGACCTGGGTCCTCTGGAAGAGCAGCCAGTGCTCTTAACCACTGAGCCATCTCTGCAGCCCCATACAATATAGATAGATCATATTCACCCCTCCAATTCCTCCAGGAACATCCTGTCCCCATGTCCTCCTCCCAAATTCATGACCCCCCAATATATGTGTAACTCACTAAGTCCAATTTGTGCTCCCCATGTACCATGGGTGGGGCCATTCACTGGATTATGGTCAACCGACCAGGGACCGTCCCTTCCTAGCAGCCATCAATTCTCCAGAGCTCCTCAATCCGCTTCTCCATCAATGTTGGACTGTCGACTGGCTGTTGTTGTGAAACAGGATTTTTACATGGTAGCTCTAGCTGACTTGGAACTCACTATGTAGGCTAGGCTAGTCTTGAACACACAGAGATTCACCTGCCTCTGCCTCTCAAGTGCTCAGATAAAAAGACATGAATCAACACTGCCAACTTGTTTTCTTTTTTAAAAAAATGGAGAGAGCCAGGTAGTAGTGGCTCATGCCTTTAATCCCAGCACTTGGGAGGCAGAGGCAGGTGGATCTCTATGAGTTCGAGGCCAGCCTGGTCTACAAGAGCTAGTTCCAGGACAGCCTCCAAAGCCACAGAGAAACCCTGTCTCAAAAAAAAAGAAAAAACAAAAGACAGAGAGAATAAGAAATTGATTTCCTTGGCTCTCCTTATTCTTCTCATGTGGGTGCTGGGAACCAAACCTGGGTCCTCTCCAATAGCAGTAAATGCTCTTAATTTGCTGAGCCAGAAGAAAAAATATAATATTCTCCCAGATTCCATGCCTGCCTAAACCCTTCTGCCCCACTGTCCCCTTCCTCTCTTCCTCTCTTCCTTCCTTCCTTTCCTTCTTTCTTCCTTCCTTCCTTTTTTCTTTCTTTCCTTCCTGAGACAGGGTCTCTTTATGTAGCCCTAGCTGTCCTGGAGATTCTCTTGCCTCTGTCTCTCCAGTGCTGGGTTAAAGATGTGCACTACACACCCAACTTTCCTTCCCATCCCCTTGTCTCATGCGTTCCATTGCCCTGCCCCCTCTTCCAAAAGCCCTGTTTTCCCTCCCTCTGTACCCCTAGTTTCTTAGTCATAATTCATATGCAGATATAAAAGTTGGGAGCTGATACTCCCACATAAAGGAGGACATGGGATGTCTCTTTAAAAACAGGGTTTCTCTGTCGCTTTGGAGGCTGACCTGGAACTCACTTTATTTTTTTTTTAATATTTTATTTATTTATTTATTGTGTATACAGCCTTCTGCCTGCATGCCAGCAGAGGGCATCAGATCTCATTCAAAGTGGTCATGAGCCACCATGTGGTTGCCCTGGAACTCACTTTATAGACCAGGCTGGCCTCGAACTCACAGAGATCCGCCTGCCTCTGCCTCCCGAGTGCTGGGATTAAAGGCGTGTGCCACCCACCACCGGACTAGATTTTATTATTTTTAAAGTATTTTTATATGCAGGTGTTCGCTGCATGTCCATCTGGATACCATGAGTGTGCCTGGTGCCTGAGGAGGCCAGGAAAAGGCGTCAGGTCCCTTGGAACTGAAGTCAGTTCTCTTAACTGCTGAGCCATTTCTCCCACCTATTTCCATATTTGAGAAAGGGTCTCCCTGAGTAGCCCTGATCTGGACCTCACCCCGTAGATCAGGCTAGCCTCAAACTCAGAGATCCACCAGTCTCTGCTTCCCTAGTGCAGGGCAAAGTTTTTGTTTTTGAGACAAGATACCTGATATGACTCACCATTTACATCCTGACACACTGGCTTAATGAGCTTGGGGAAGGTTCTTTCTCCCTAATGTCAACAAGGGTTAAAATAAGTTGACGGTTATTTTTCAAATGATCTGTCCTGTCCAGTCTGACAGGAAACTAATGACCTGCTTCCATTTTAACCTTTATCTTTTACCTTACCAATACTTGGGATAAGTGAAAACACCAGGAGGATTCATCACTGCCAAAGGCTTGTGCTAGGAACGGGGCGGGCATCTCCGGCGTTATGAGTTGTTGAAAATACGCTCTTTCTTTTGTTTTTGTTTCTTTGAATTTTGGGTGTTTTTTTGTTTTGTTTTGTTTTTGTTTTTTGTTTTCTTGAGACAGGGTTTCTCTGTGTGGCTCTGGCTGTCCTGGAACTCACTCTATAGGTCAGGCTGGCCTTGAACATACAGAGCCTTTGCTCCTGAGTGTGGGGATTAAAGAAATGAGCCACCAATGCCCAGCAAAAATATGGTGTTTCCATTAGAGAACCCTTCGGAAGAGGGGGAGGAAGTGTTGTAGCATGCAGTGGTGTCAAGTGCACCACAAGAAAACTCACAGAACCAACTAGCCTGGGTTCATAGAGGCTCACAGAGACTTAACTGACAACCAGGGGTCAGGATGGCACTGACCTAGGTCCTCCGCATATATGTTACAGTTCTGTAGCTTGGTTTTCTTGTAGGACTCCTCACAATGAGAGCAGTGGATGTCTCCAGCTTTGATGCCTGCTTTGGGGACCCATTCCTCCTACTGGATTGCAGTGAGAGGAGGTGCCTAGTCTCACTGCAACTTGATACACCATGGCTGCTGATATCCATGGGCTGCCCGCCTGTATCTGAAGAGACTCAGTGGAGGAGTGGATGGAGTCGGGGGAGGAGGGAGACTGGAAAAGGGGAGGGAGGGAAAATTTGGTTGGGATGTAAAAACCAAAAATAAATAATAAAATGTGATTTTTCTTTTTTTTTTCCGGCGCGCGCGCACACACACACACACACACACACCCCACCCTTCAATATCTATGTAAGCAAGTAAAAACTGTTCTGCTCTGCCAACTTGAGGTGACTCAAAAACAATCTTTGGGTATCTGTGTAAGCAAAAACAAACAAACAAAACCACTTAGTCTTATCATACAAGTAAATAGTCAGGGATGTATATTTTTGGGTGGGAGAGTCATTGAGTCAGGGTTACTGGGAACTTATCTTCAAGAGACTGGAGTCAGTGACAAATGGCTGGTGGGTACCAATGGATGGGTGGATACTACATGGATGCCTAGCATAAAATGGAACTTCATCAGCCATAACACTGGATCCAGAATCGAGTGCCTGTGGATTCTATGCTTTCTTTGGCCTCCTCAGGAGCTACACGCAGGTGGTGCCTGCGTAGGTGCAGCCAAGCACCCACACACATAAAATAAAAATAAATCTCTAGACAGACAGCGTGGGGCCATTAAGATGACTCAGGGAGTAAAGTGGTAGCTGCAAGCCCAACCCCACCCACACAAGGTGGAAGGAGGGGACTGACTCCACAAGTCTGATCTGACCTCACCGGCACATCGTAACACACGCAGCCCACTGCTCCACCCTAATAATAAATAAAAAGTTATTAAGAAGAAAGGAAGACTGGGCGTGACAGTTCTGTCCCAAATCTCAGCACGTGGCTGGGCAGATGCAGGAGGCTTTCTGTGCATTCAAGGCCCATTTGATCTACAAAGCGAGTTCCAGGCAGCCAGGGCTATAGTCAGACCTTGTGTTTAAAAAGAGGGTGGGAAGAAAGGAAGGAAGGAGTGACAAATATTCAGTGCTTTAGGGTGCAGAGTCAGGAGGCACAAAGAGTTCCCTTAAACTTCTGGCGACCTAGACTCAAGCCAAACTAAAATTTATGGCTTCTATGGAAAAAACATTCAAGAGTAGGGGTTATGAAGAAGCCAAGTGGGGGTTTAAGAAGGACATTTTAGCTGGGTGCTGGTGTGTATGCCTTTAATCCCAGAACTCACACTTGAGAGGCAGAGGCAAATGGATCTCTGTGAGTTCAAGGCCAGCCTGGTCTACACGGCTAGCTCTAGGACAGAGAAACCCCGTCTTGAAAAGCCAAAAATAAAAGTAAATAAAATTTTTTTCCGAGACAGGGTTTCTCTGTATTGTTTTGGAGGCAATAATTTTTTTTTTTTTTCGAGACAGGGTTTCTCTGTGGCTTTGGAGGCTGTCCTGGAACTCGCTTGGTAATCCAGGCTGGTCTCAAACTCACAGAGATCCGCCTGCCTCTGCCTCCCGAGTGCTGGGATTAAAGGCGTGCACCACCAACGCCCGGCTCGACAATAGATGTTTTTAATATAGGCTTATGTATGGTGTGGGGTCCCGAAGAGTGTGGAAAATGGCTCCTTGCTGGGTTGCTCGTTTTTGTGATGGTGGATAGGACTGGGGTGGGGTTTGGAGTTCCTGTTTTCACAGGGTTGCTAGGAAACC